GCATAGATGCAGCCAAGTAGCCTTCCTTCTGGCGTTTGTGAGGTTTTAAACTGTGTTCTGAGACCAAGAGTGGAGCCACAGGGTTTCCTTGAGCCAACTGAAGCCATGGATGGTTGCTCAACGGGTAAAGGTGCTTGCAGTATACTCTCCATATAGAACATATCAAAATTAGCTTTGGGGCTGCCTTTTTATTTATGTATATATTTATTTACTTCTGAGATAGACTCTCACTGTGTAGCCCTACCTGCCTTGGAACTCTCTACGTAGACCAGGTTGGCCCCAAACTCATAGAAATCCACCCGCCTCTGCCTCCTGAGTGCTGGGATTAAGGGTGTGCCCTCCAGGCCCAGCTGCCGTGCATAGGCTTAGTTAATTACTTTGAGGTTCGTCCATGTAGTTACACTTTTCTCGTTGCTCAATAGTGTTCCACTTCATGGTTCTACCACAAAGTGTTTACCCATTTATCTGCTGAGGAACCTTTGAGCGTGTTTTGCTTGCAGCTCTAACAAATTAGGCCACTTTGAGAAGTTATATGCAAGTCTCTAAGTGGACTATGCTTTCGCTTCTTTAAGAGGGGAATGGCTAGGTCAAATGTTGGGGTGGTTTAACTTAAAGAGAAGCTGCCGAAGTATCTTCTAGAGCAGTTCTGACAGCTTCAGTCTCCCCCCTGGTGAATGAGCGTTTCAGTTCCTCCGTTTCCTCGCTTGAAATGGCCAGTCACCTAAGGAACCGTTCCAGTTGGTGTGTGCTGGGCAGCTTGTAGTTTTCATTGTGTATGTCTGTCTAACAATGTTGTGTCTGTTCATGGCTTATTTCCCATGTCTCTTTTCCAGAAAAGTGTTAATTTGAGCATTTTGCCCATTTTTATCATGGGTAGCCCTCTTACTATTGTACTTTGAGCATTCTCTATTGTAGAGGTGGGCCCTTATCATATGCCTGATTCCGAATGATTTTCTCCAGTCTCTGGCTTGGCTTTCATTCTTTTGGAAAGCAGACGTCTTGCATGTTGATTGTAAGCTTAGCAACTTGTTCTTCATGACATCATTTCTTCTTCTGTTGCTGAGATTGAATGTCATAATGAAGAGAAAGGGTTTACTTTTGGCTTACAGTTCTAAAGGACACAGTCCTCATACTGGGGACGGCCTGGCTACGGGAGTGTGAGCTCAGCTGGGCATCAGGAAACAGAGACTAGCAAGTGAGGCCCATCTGTAAAACCTCAAAATCTGCTCCTCCCCATCCCAAACAGCCCCACCAGCTGGGAACCAAGTGTCCAGACACACAGACCTATGTGGACATTTCATAGCCACGCTACAGCACGTGAGTTCTGATGTTATAGCCAAGACATCTTTGCCAAACTGAAGTTCATAAAGGTCTCTGGAGGTTTTGTGATTTGAGATTCATTCTGTACTGGGGTCTATGATCAATTTTGAGGGTTTTTGTTTGTTTGGTATGGTTCAAGTATTGACTGGGGTTCTTTGCTTTTGTGTCTTGCTAATGGACCTTCCTTATTCCAGCACCATGTACTGTAGAGAGGTAATCGCTATGGTGATGCTGTCCATGAGAACCAGTCCCTCATCTATGTGTGCATCAATTGTTCAACTCTTTATTCTGATCCATTGATCTGTTGCTCTATCTTTGACCCCATGAGCACACAGGTGGTCTGATCCTGTAGCTTTATAATGACCTTTGAAATAAGGTAATATCAACCCTCCAACTGTGCCCTTTTTCAAAGTCTTTTGCATTTCTATATCAATTTTGGAAATATCTACAAAAAGATGAGAATTTTGAATTAATACTTATAGCCTTCACCTTACAACCTGTGCAATTTCGTCTGAATTTTGGAATAAATCTTCCAATTTTTTTAATTGCATTTATTATTTGTGTGTGGATACACACACAAGGCAGGACACAGCACACACGGGGAGGTCAGAAGATACCTTACAAGAGTCAGTTCTTTCCTCCTTCCAGGTAAATCCTGGAGACTTAACTCAGCTTGTCTGGCTTGGTAACAACTGCCCTTCGCTCCTGAGCCATCTTGCCCACTCTGGTGTGCCAGTTTCTAAAAATGTCAAGTTTAACTGAACGTTGTGGGACACACCTTTAATTCCAGCGCTTGGGAGGCAGAGGTAGATGGGGTTTGAAGCCAACCCAGTTTATGTGGTGAGACCCTGTCTTAAAAATAGAACAAAATAAAAAACAAGAAAGCAAACAAAAGGCTAAAAATGTTAAACTTTGATATGAATTTTAATTCTCAACCTGTCTTAGTTAGGTTTTCTGTTGTTGTGAAGAGACACCATAACCAAAGCAACCCTGTAAAGGAAAACATTTAATTGGGTGGTTTATAGTTTCTGAGGTTCAGTCCATTACCATCACAGCAGGACATGGCAGCACACAGGCAGACATGGCACTGGAGGAGCTGAGTCTACATCTTGATCCACAGACAACAGGAAGTGAGCTGTTAACCACATTGAGTATAGCTTGAGCAAAAGAGACCTCAAAGCCCACCCCCACAGTGACACACTTCCTCCTACAAATCCACATTACTCTAACAAAGCTATACCTCCTAATAGTGATACTCCCTATGGGGGCCATTTTCCTTGAAACCAACACACAGCCCATTTAAAGATTAAGACATGTGTGTGTGCATACGTTACACACACATTATGTTGCAGTTTTTTCAGGTGAGCCGCATACCATTGACATTTAAGAATGTATGGAATTATAAAGAGCTATGGAGTGGTGGCGCACGCCTTTAATCCCAGCAGAGACAGGTGGATCTCTGAGTTCAAGGCTAGCCTGGTCTACAGAGTGAGTTCCAGGACAGCCAGGGCTAACTATACAAAGAAACCCTGTCTTGTAGTTGGGCAACAGATAGATAGAAACACCTACATCACTGTCTCAAAAAAAAAAAAAAAGCTAAATAAATAAACAATGAAATTATTGAAGAGAACCAACATTCAAAACCTTTTGTTTGTTTGTTTGTTTTTTTGAGACAGGGTTTCTCTGTGAAGCTCTGGCTATCCTGGAACTCACTCTGTTCTGGCACAAAATCTTAAAGAACTTATTTGAAAGTGTACATCCTGTACCTTGTGAAGAGGTTTTTACCGTCAGAATGCTGTCTTCTGGGCTTCGTATTATTTGTTTTCATTTGTGCTTTCTTTTTAAAAAGATTTATTATTTATGTGTCTGTGTGGTTGTATGTGCACATGCTTGCAGGTGCCCTCAGATTCCAGAAGAGGGCGTCAGATTGTGAACCTCATGTCAGTGCTGGGAACTGAACTCGGTCCTCAGGATAAGCAGAAAGTTCTCTTAACCACTGAGCCATCTCTCCAACACCACCATTAGTATTTTCTCACTTACATCTCCTGTTTACTCCTGGATATGATGTCTAGAAATATACTGCATTTCACTAACAAAAGGATATTTCAGTCTTTTAAACACACTGTTTGGTTTGCTTATCAGTTCTATGCTAATATTTAGCCATTGCTAAGCCCTGATCATTTACGCATTCTCCCTCCTCCCCTAGCTAGAAGAGACACGTTAGTAATCCTCGCCTGTCCATCTTCTCTCAGTGTGTGAGGTGGTCCCAGGGCACTGTAGTAATGCTCACCTGTCCATCGTTTTCTCTGTGTGTGAGGTGGTTTCCTGCTGAAATAGAAAGGTCCCCGTTCCCTTTCCCTAGAAGTTTCTGACCTCTTCAGTTAATCGTACAGAGCATGGGCTCTGAGCTTGGTGACTGTCACTTGGCACCCACCAAGTGACCTTGCTAAGCCCCTGCATGGTGCCTGTCTACCTTGAAGCACAGCTCTGTGGTGATGAAGGTGATGGTAAGAACCATTTGCTAAGCTCTTGCTTCAGACTCTGAGTCTGTTGTCTTGGATGACATAACGCCTAAACGTCATGACTGCTTAGGTAAAAAGTACTTGCATAACAAGTACCAAAATACACATTTGTCTCCTGTCTGTATAATTTGTTTTAAATTTAATTTTTTGTACGCGACCCTCCAGAAATACGTCGTAAGAATAGTTTAATAAGGGGCTGGAGAGATGGCTCAGAGGTTAAGAGCATTGCCTGCTCTACCAAAGGTCCTGAGTTCAATTCCCAGCAACCACATGGTGGCTCACAACCATCTGTAATGGGGTCTAGTGCCCTCTTCTGGCCTGCTGGCATACACACAGACACAATATTGTATACATAATAAATAAAATAAAATAAAAAAAAGAATAGTTTGATAAGATAAATCCCCATAGGTCCACTCCTTGGGTCATAAAGTATCAGGAGCTGACCAGGTCCGTGGTTTCTTCCTTCAGTAGGGTGAAGAGAGAACATCCGTCCTAGAAAGCAAATCCTAGTCTTTTATTTGGTCTCTGCAGTTTCAGCGTGCATCTCCGAGACATGAGCTCATTCATCAAATACCATGATCAGACCTAACAGATAGAGTTCCCTTCTTTCCTCGAAAATGTCTTTTTCAAAGCTTATGCAAATAAGAATGGAAGGAAGCGCCACGCTAGAGAGCGTCACGCTAGAGTGCCGCACACCCCCTTGTGTTGGGTTTCTTTAAATGTGAACTGCTTAGGTAGCAGCTGTCACATTTGATTCTCCTGCTCCAGGCAAGCATCTTTTTAAAAGATAGGGATATTTGTACATATTTGTGAGATGCAATACAATAATGTGATATACAGAGACATTAAATCAGACTGATTAGCATTTCATTTTCTCCAACATTAATCAACCCTGTGTTGGGAACCTTCAGACCCTTCTAGTTATCTTGAACATATAAACATTTGTGGTGGCAGTCTGGATTTTTTTTTTATTTTAGGCTTTCATCTCCCTCTAAAATCAGTAATGAAATGTGGAAATTACTTAAGGTGGGGCTTGATGACACGTGCCTTACATCCCGGCACTTGGGAGGCAGAGTCAGGCAGATCTCTGTGAGTTTGATCCCATCAAGGTGATGGAAACTAATCCTCTCCCTGTGTTGTATTTGTCTTTGAAAGTCAGGTAAAGGGAAGAAAGGGAAAGGCCGGGCTAAGAGTTTCGGGAAGAAGCAGAAGCAGAAGCCGAAGAAGCCGGAAGTGGACATCCTCAGCCCTGCCGCCATGCTGAACCTCTACTACATCGCCCACAATGTCGCCGACTGCCTGTACCTTCGGGGCTACCCTTGGCCAGGCGCTGCCAAAGGGAGGAAGGGGAAGAGCAAGATTTAAGTGATAGAATCCAACACACGTTTTCGTTTCCAATAACAGAAAGTGGGAGAAAACATTCAGGACAACTCAATGGCGCAGGAAAATAGGCTTACTGAAGACCAGTAACACTAGCCGGTGTACTTCTCTGTGGGAATAATGGCAGAGAAATGCCCGTTTATTGCCACTGCTAAGCCAGGCACTAGGTGGCTTCACTTTGTTTTTTGTTTTTTCTTTCAAAAAGTAATCAGGAAAACCAAACCCAAGTGGAGTTTGTTTAAAGTCTTAAAGGAGGCACTGGCAACGGCAGTGATTTTTATAGTATTATAATCATAGTTCTGGACCCGAATTAAAACCTTGTTCTCAGGAGGCAGCTCCAGTTTCTTGAGTCGTTTTCTTTTGTGAGAGGGGTTGTTTAGCGAGGATGAGGCAAAAAGCAAAGGCTGACTTTGTGTGCACCTTCCTCTTGGGCATTTTTTCCCCCGCTGTGGTTTGAGTTTGGGTTTTTTTTTTTTTTCTTTCTTTCAATGCTGGGGATGAACCTGGGGTCTCTACTCAGGAAGAGCTCTGTCGTTAAGTTACCCCAGTCCTCCCCTTTTTTAAACAAAATGGAAAATAAATAATTTGTTTTTATAATTTTCTGCTTAGAAATCTTTCTCAAATTTGAATTGACTACAGACTCCAGGGAGACTAAGCTCGCTATAGGTGCTCCAGTCCTGCCAGGTCTGCAGGCACCTGACTGAGATGTGGGCGAGGAAAACTGCTCCGGATATGGTGCTGGCTGTGAAATTCAGCACGGTGGTACCTGTTTGTGGTCCTAGCACTGGGGAGATCCAATGCTAGCGACAGAAGGAACCCTGGGGTTTTCTGGCCAATCAGCTGAATCGGTGAGCTCCAGGCTCAGTGAGTGACTCTGGAGGAAGCGGCCGGTTCTCTGCACACTGGACGCAGGCTCACAGAGATCCTCCTGGTGGTGGGTGCAGGAAGAAGGGGAACAAATCAGATAAGTTAGCTTCCCGTTGTGACCCAGGGCCTGAGGAAAGCGACTTAAAGGAGAAAGACTTCTTTACGCTCCTGGTTTCGGAGGCTGGCTCCTTTATTTGGGGAATGAGACACTGAAAGACCCCCGGTGTCAGGAGACTCTCATTCAAGTCTGGGGATAACACGACCCCCCACACCCCAGTAACTCACGAGAGACCGTCCTTGCTGCAGTCACACGAGGTTTATTGACAGGTACCAGTGCACTGGGGCCGAAACTCAACCCTTGCGGGAGGAGAAGTTCAACCCCTAGTAACTGGGAGAAGGGGTTTTTAAAGGAAGAAACCACAGCCCAGTAATCTGAAAGGAGTAGGGAGGGCGTCACAGAAAATTCCAAAAATACCAGTGATGACCACAAGGGGGTAACTCCCTGCCTCTCAAGATTATACTCAAGATTACAATCTAACTTTATCTTCAACTAGTTCCTGAAACTGAACCAGCTAATCCTAAATTTCTGATTCTTCTCTCCCTGCTTAGATTTTTGGCTCTATTTTTTCCTGCTAGGGGGGTCTGGATTCATCTAGGTCTTTCAACACAACGTAATACCATGGCAGTCAGAGCATGTGGCAGAGTGGCTGACCATCTTACAGTGGCCAGGGAGGGAAAAGGAAGGCAGCGAGGGGCCAGGGACAAAACACGTTCCTTCCCTAAGAAGGGCTCTCTCTGTGTAGCTTTGTTAGCCTGGAACTCACAGTGTAGCCCAGACTAACCTCAAACTCACAGACCTGCCTCCTAAGCGCATACATCAAAGCCAGACTAAGACACACTTTTCAAAACCATGCCTCCAGTATGGCCCTGCCTCCTACAGTTTCCACCAACCTCCCAGTTCAGCCACAACTCCATTAGTGTGGATTAATCTGCTGATAAGATTATAGCCCTGATGGTCCAGTCACCTCTGATAGTGCTGCACCATGGCTAAACCTCCAATAAATACATGAACCATTGTGAAACATTCCAGATTTAACCATAACTTTCTGCCCTTAGGCCCCAAAGACTCAGGCTCATTACACAAAAGATGTTAAAAGATGCTCCAGAATCCCCAAATTTTCAAAGGTTCTGGGGCTGCACAAAAATCTAAATCCAAGTCTCTTAGACTCGTGTCCTTAGCTATGTGTCCCTGTAAGATACAAAAAGCAAGTTACAGACTTCCAAAGCCCTTGATGCATAGCCCTGACCCTTGGAAAGAGGCAGTTGCAGGTATATGTGGCATTCCTGACCCATCTCTCCATACCTGCTGTCTTAGAGTTCTTATTGCTGCGAAGAGACACCATGACCACAGCAATCAAACAGAATGCATTTAATTGGGGTGGCTCACTTACAGTTTCAGAGGTTCAGTTCAGTATCGTCATGATGGGAAGCATGGTGGCATGCAGACAGGTTATACTGGAGTAGTAGTCCAGAGTCCCACATCTTGTTAGGAGGAGGGCCGCTTGTTGATTCCCAGCTGCTCAGACTCCCGAAATAATCACACAGAAACCATACTATTTAAAACACTGCTTGGCCCATTAGCTCTAGCTGCTTATTGACTAACACTTATATCTTAATTTAACCCATTTCTAGTCATCCGTGTATCGCCACGTGGCCATGGCTTCCTGGGTAAAGTTCCCAGCATCCATCTCCAGTGGGGCTACATGGTTTCTCCCTGACTTGGCCCTCCTTTCTCCCAGCATTCTGTTTAGTTTTTCCTGCCTGGCTAAGTTCTGCCCTATCGACAGGCAAAGGCAGTTTCTTTATTCATTAATGGTAATCACAGCATACAAAGGGGACACCCACATCAGCATCTTTAAGGTAAACTGAGACACTGGATGGTTTCCTGAGCATAGGAAACCTCAAAACCCACCCCTGTGGTGACATTTCCTCCAACAAGGCCACCCCTACTCCAACAAAGCCACACCTCCTAATAGTGCTGCTCCCTGTGAGATTATAGAGCCCATTGCACTCAAAGGGCCACACCTGCCTCCTGCTCTGCATTCCTGGCCCTCACTGCTTCCCTCAGCCCACCACTCTGACACCTACAGGGCTTTGCTCCATTCTCTGTGCTCAGGCAAACACCATGGTAGGACAGACATATTCCACTTTGAGTCACTTACAGTTGGGCTGCATGTTGCCTTGTGGGGGTGACAGGGCTTTATGAAGTTAGCCAAAGGAGACCACAGCCCAGGACAGATGTCAGAGGAAATGATATGAGTCCCTTTGCTGGAAAAGTTGAGCATGCATAACCCTTGTGAGTCGGTCATGAATGCAATCTGTCTGCCTGAGCAGATGCAGCGTAAGGCCGAGGCCAGCTACCAAGGGAGCACTCCTACGCAGGAGCAGAAGGAAGCCTGCCCTTTTCCTGGGCTTTAGAGACTGAGAAGAGGACCTGGGGGGGGGGGGTAAGAAGGGGTAGGGACAATGACTGCAGTGGACTGGTGAGAAGGAGAAAAGGTGTGGCAATAGTGTGGGGGGACATTTGACAATAGAGTGCCCCCCCCACAAAACTGATGGCCTGAAATGAACAAGAGCAGCAATGACCAATGCCAAAATATGGAGAAACTGCCATTCCCCGCTGTCACAAGTGGTACAGTCCCTGCAAGCACAGTTTGACCTGGGCGGGAAGGCGGATCAGTGGGCACCCGCTACCAACTCTGAAAACCTGAGTTTGATCCCAGGGACCCGAAGGGTGGGAGAAAATAGACACCCTCAATTTCGTCCCCTCCCATGTTGGTGTGTGCATATCCACGCATATACCATAAACAAACGTTTAAAAAGAAGACAGCTTGACAGTCTCAGGAGATCGTCAGGTCAGCCACTGCCTCTGTGTGCACCACAAGCAGCTGCTCCAGGCGTGTATTCCTTTCATAATAAAAAGACCCAGAGGGCTGGAGAGATGGCTCAGAGGTTAGGAGCACTGGCTGCTCTTCCAGAGGTCCTGAGTTCAATTCCCAGCAACCACTTGATGGCTATGGCTCACAACCATCTGTAATGAGATCTGGTGCCCTCTTCTGGCCTCCAAGTATACATGCAAGCAGACACTGTATATGTAATAAATAAATCTTTTTAAAAAAAATAAATAAAAATAAAAAGTCCCAGAAAACAGTAAGTGTTAGTTAAAGCAATGAGCCGCGGACAAGCAGTCCCCAAGTAGGTGAGGGAACCAGGTGGTCCACATGTGCTCAGTGCCCTGCAAAAGCTCCATTCTCTAGCTTTCCTTCCTGAGCAAGCAAGGTATCCACAGCCATTAGAACACCACGGGCAGCACAGGGCTCTCCTCACCTCTGTTGCAGTTTTTCACCTGTAGCACCAGAGAATCCACTCGTGACGGCTGTCCTGATCCAGGTACAGACATCAAAGCACCCAGGTCAACACGTTCGCTATGGTTTGTAAGGAGAAAGTGTATTTCTCACTTCTTGACTAAAGAAAAGTGGTGGTAGGGTTTTGCCTTCCACCCTCTGCCTCTTGAGGAGTCACCAAGATCCCATCCCAGGGCTTGGATCTTCACTTCTAAGCCTCCAGACCTGTAAGAAATAAACTCCTGTTGCTTGTGACTTCCCCGACTTTGGTGTTATGTGGTAGCAACACTGTGAACCGAGCTACCGTATAACCCGAGGCCATTTTCAGATATATGACTAAGGGGATTGAAAGCAGGGAGTCAGAAACTTGACCATGCTCGTGGAACCACTGTCCACAACAGCCCCAAGGGAAGAAGTCACCCCTGTCTATTATGGAGGAACAAACAAAAGGTGGTAGAATATTTGTTCTTAAAAATGAATGATATTCTGAGAGCATAGTGTGGACCAGACTTAAAAACATGCATGACAAAGATACAAAAAGTCTAAGACTGCGGAGCCACTAATGCAATTCACAGACAGAACGAGGGGTTGAGATGACAATAGGATGGGAGCCATTCTACTTTGGGGGGATGGTGAAAAGTTCAGAAGATGGGTGCTGCTGTTGTCTCAATGTGTGTGGCCCCAATACACTAGATGCTACAGTTAAAGCAATTATCTTTGTGTTCTATACATCTACCAGAATGAAAGAGGAAATCAAAGGGTTTTTCTTCCTTTCTCCTCTTCTCTTCCTCTCCTCCTCTCCTCCTCTTCCTCTTCCTCTTCTCTTCTGTCCTAAAATGATCTTGAACATGACAGAGGGAACAACAGATGCAAAGGAAGTGTCCACAGGCCTCCTTTGTCACTGGTAAGTAGTTGGGCACATATGGATGAAGGGGACACCTTAGAAAGAGGAATTCTGGAGATGGGCTTGCTGTGTAAGTGTGGCGACTGTGTCCCATCGTACACAAAGACCTAACTTCTGGGAGGCGTGCTCTGTCCGGTATGCATGTGCACAGCCCACCCCAGCCTCCAAGCCTTAGCGTGTGCTCTGTCCTCCAACACATGTTCTGGTACACGTGTGCACAGCTTGCCCCGGCCTCAAAGCCTTTGCACCTGCCACTGCCCTCTCCTGGGCCTCTGCTACTTCACCCTCATTTCCCCTTCCCACACTGGGCAGCTCCTGTCCAGGCTCACTTGCTCCTTACTGCTGAAAGGCTTGGCTCCACATCTCTGTTTGATGCCCACTAACTGGCACCTTGGATCTGCCACTCTGTGGACAGCCTCTCC